TCCTAGAATAACTTTTAATAAAACTCTACGTATTGCACTGGTGCAAAGGGAAAGAGCCACCTGCTCAGCCAATTACTATGATGCGCTCAAGTTGAGACTAATGTCTGCCTGTGCTGCTTTATGGATTATTACAAAGTCCGAGTGGCTGTATTAAATCCTGGGCAATCTAGTATATGAAAACCCTATCACTCTAATGCTTCTGCTAAGCCACTTAATACAAATGTTTTTGTGCGTTTGCATCAATTTAATGATATTGTTTTTATTTGTTGCCATTTGCAGGTGCTTTTAAATATGACAGATTGACAGCCAAAAGAGGTCCATTTCAGAGCAGATAAGCAGCTAGAGAAAAATTGTACAATGTATTATGATAGCTGGATCTACTCTGCATAAATATATGGATTGGAGATGTGTGTTACAAATATTGTGAAATCACACAGTTTAGAAAAGTACACTGTTAAAATATTCATATATTGTACTAAAACAATAACACTTTTTGTTAGCATTGCGTGATTTCAAATGGAATTGATTTATGCCAACGTATGCAGTTGCTACATGACCTGTACGATAGATTTGTAAAGCACATAGGATAATGTTTGTAGGGGTGTGTTGCAGTGGTGTGCGCTGAAATAAAGTTATGACCGTCTGTACTTTTTTCCAGTGCAGCGTGCCAGCCAATAGAACTCAATGAAATGTCACTGATTGGTGGGATTGGCTCTTCAGCACTGCACTGATCTCACTGCACACCATTTGCTGCATTGTAACACAGCAGATGGTGTGAACGGACCCTAGGAAATGTTATTATGCCATCGCTGGTGTGAATGCATATAGCAAGGAGCTAACAGGATACAGGAGATCAGCAGCACTGAAATGCAATAAAGGATATTTAACCACTTCAATACCAGGCACTTTTACCCCCTTACTGCTAAGCCCAATTTTCAGCTTTCACTGCTGTCACACTTTGAATAACAATTACTCCGTCATGCTACACTGTACCCAGTACAAACAGATGGAGCTGCCTTTTGATGGTGTTTATTCACAACAGTTTTTTTTATTTTTTGCTGTATAAGCAAGAAAAATACAGGAGTTTAAAAAAAAAACAAACAAACATGTTTTTCTTGTAAGAGGCATGGTGATTTTTTTTTGAAGTTGTAATTTTTTGTCTCATATTTTTGGAAAAAGAAAAAAATTTTTTTTTTCACAATTTGTTTTACATACTGTCACCATTACACCACAGTGTCATTATATGACTGGTGTGTCAGTGATCAGGGATACTGACTGGGGACAGTATGTAATAAAAATATATATTTGTAAAGTTTTAAAACTTTTTTAAAATGTTTTAATTTTTTTTACAAATGTATTTACATACTGTGACCAGAGCAGTGCAGTGTTACCCTAGTGACACAATACTACTCTGGGGAAAGTATCATTTTTTTAACACTATGATTGCTTATAACAATGCTAATCAGTGTTATAAGCAATCATTTTTATGACTTCCATTCATTCACAGCTATTGTCCACAGCTATCACATGATACAGATGGACTGTGATTGGCCTTGTCTGTACCATGTGATCTCTGTGACCAATCACATAGATCACCACAATAATCACAATGAATTAAAGCCATTCATTGTATATATAAACTGTCATGTGATTGCTGTGGTTGGTGACAGCAATCACATGATACCAAATGGTACAGTGACCTATCTTCTGCTGTGTCTGGTGGACACAGAGTGTGACAGATTGTATGGCCCCTGGGGTGTACGACTGGTGGGACACCATATGGCATCCACCCAGTATGAGAGAGCTCACACTCAGCCGTCATTTGACAATAGGTGGGGCAGGAAGCAGTTAAAAAAGGCCCATTGATTATAATACACAGTACTTTAATGAATTGTGAATCAATAAGGTTACATATTTTTTGACCATGCTACAAAACCAGAAACAGTACCAATGGCTGTTACCTATTGTAATATGTAAATCTTTCAACTATGATCAGAAGTTTTTCAGACCTATGAACAATTTGTAATATTTTTTGAATGCTATCAGAAGATTACATCTCTTAAAGAGGAATGGGCTCATCATAGTGAGTTTGAATAGCATATCTTATTTCAAACTACCATTTTATATCACTAGTTTCTTTTTGGTCTGATGTATGAGGCCCCATGCACATTGATGTATATTAGCTCCTGTGTCCTCAACTGTAAAATCCCCAGCATATTCCTGTGTCTGGGAAGCCACAGGTGCCACGTACAGCTGCTAATACAAGTGAAAGGCTGTATATCAGTGGTCTCCAAACTCCGGACCTCTGCTTGCTTTTATCTTGCCCTTGGGGCACTATTTCATTCACCAACACCAATAATGGGGCACAGTTCCTCCCAATGACACCAACAATGGGGCACAGTTCCTGCCAATGACAACAACGATGGGGCACAGTTCCTCCAAATGACACCAACAATGGGGTCCAATGACTCTAATGATGGGACACAATTCCTACCAATGACGCCAATGATAGTGCACAATTCCTCCCAATGACACCAGTGATGGGGCACAATTCCTCCCAATTACATCAACAATGGGGCACAATTCCTCCCAATCTGACTAATGATGGAACACTATTCCTACCAATGACACCAATGATGGGGCACTATTCCTACCATTGATACCAACAATGGGGCCCAATGACACCAATGCATTCAGGAAAATACACCATACACGTGTGCGTAGGTAAATGCCAATTCAGCATTTACTGGAGTACAACCGCATACAGCTATTCACTTGTATTGTGAGCAGTAAGCAGCACCTGGAACTCCTTAGGCACAGGAAATCACAGTGTATTTTATGCTTGAGGACACAGTTGCTAATAAATATCTGTGTGCATCTTATATAACGAAATGATGGATTGAGACCAGGTTCATTTCCAGAATATGACAGTTATCCTTATCTTGATACTGTGTGGCATGGTTTCATCTTGTTTAAATGTGATCTTCCTTGATTCCGTAAAAATCACGCCCAATATATTATACCTGTATATAACCCTGCCTACAGAAATTCCTCATAATATTTTGCAAGATTTGTAAAATTATGTTTGATGTGTAATTTGGAGAATAATACCAATAGGATAAACCAATAACGCATTAAAAATCACAAAGGATCTTTCAATTTTTTTATAAAGCTTTCAAGATGGCCAAATGTGGCAAATTTGCTTATCTCAATGCTATTAAATGGGTCAAAGTAGAATTGAATACGGCTTACCCGGTATCACTTCTGTGAGTGCCACAATGTGATGTCATCTCATATTAAACAGTAATATCTTCATAATTGTTCACACTAAGGATACAAAAGAAAGTTTAGAACTTATATATGTCAACCTTGACTTTCCCAAAAGCATACAAAAATGTTTTGCTACTTTAGCTTATGCACTTTATGTGATATAGCAAATTGTATAATTAAATCTCAGGACAAATGGAGCTACCGAGGTTCTTTGCTTACCTGTACCTCAAAGGTTATGTTTTCAGAAAGGTCTAAAGTCAACTTCCTTAGTCCAAACCATGTCTGAAAAGGAATACAATCAGAATCCAAATAGGTTTGGAGTAATTTCCACTGATTAAGTGGCAGGCTGAAATCTGTTCTTTCACTTAACTCATCCCTTCCCCACTAGGATGTATCTCTCCCTTCAGCTTTCCTCCAAGAGGAATATCAATAGTAGACACAGTCTTCCTACATGGTCTTATGTAAGATCACTATCCCAACTAATTTTCATATTTTTTGCAAACACACATATGCTCTACTCACCCTTATAATTGCACTGCGGTATACATGAGTACAGTGGCACACAGCCATTCATGTTAATGACAAGCTGTATGCTGCACCTGGGCTGCCTGGGAGGAAATATGGCTTCAGTTACGCTGAATGGGCTCAGGCATAACTGCAAGAGCCCTAATTAACCTTTTTTTAGTAGACATGTTTTGAGATCTGGGATTTCAATACTATTTATTTATAACACTAATATTGCAATATTTTTGTATACTTGATGACAGAGTGAGGTTGATGCAATAAAAGCAACAAAATGTCTTTGTTTCTGAGAGATACTTGCTGCTTGTTAGCAGTTGCTTCATGTACAGCACACTGAAATCAATGTGATACTACTGAGATGACTGTGAAGAAGTAGTCAAATCTCTCAATAGCAAGAGGATTTAACGGCTGGTGTAGTCCTAGATTTAGATAATGTTAATGCATTAAGATCTAGATAGGTCTGTGGCCACTGGTCAGTCATTATGTACTGTGAAGTGGCTATTTGAACACAAGACTTCCTTTAGAATGTAGTGAATGTGAATCAGGAGTATGAACAAATCTGAAAGATCAATTTTTTAAGCATGTTTATCTGTACTCATTATAGCAAGGAAATTACACTGTATAGCATTTTAGTTAATAATGGCTTACAAAGTAAAGTGGTGGTCTTGATGGTGGTGTTAGAGCTTCTATATTGAAATACACAAAGCTTGAGTCCTTGCTAACATATTTTTCAATATAAAATAGTAACAATCCACTACCCAATCCTATCACATACAACATATTATATAAAGAAACTTGTACTGTGATAGAACTAGAAAGGAGTGTACAGCCATAATGCAGAATATTGTTGGATAACAATAACCTATACCAATTAAAAACAAAATGTAACATTCTAACCAGCAACCTAACCACCCAGCCCCATGCACAGCTTTAACCAGATTCTCCAGTCCCCTAATACACCATGTTGTTAGCTTTGTGCCTCTACACATGTATCAATTAAAAGACATCTAGCTTGCCTAGAGTGCCCCAAAGTATCTCTGTTCTATACCAGGATGTGTATTGCAAAGTTGATATGGTTGGTTCTACCAATTGGTTCTACCAATTTGACTTTAGTTAATTCAGAATCTAAATATGCAGACCTTAATTTGAAGAATGTTTCAGTGTGTAAAGCCTCATTACTCAGAGTATTAACTTTTTGTACCAACATTAAATAAAATAAAATAACTTCTGTCAATACGATTTTCTTGGTGGTGAAAAGGCAACGGATTTTCAAATGGAAGGGCAAAGTGGCCTAATAGCTAAAACCTGTGTACGATAATACTGTTTGCCAATAAATTGTAATAATAGGATATTATGACATCAGGTATATGTATAAAATTAGGGCGGTCCATATTACAATTACGGCAACAGCTGATTCAATTAAAGGGTATGGTAAAGCATGTTAAAAGCTTGATAAGTCACATTTATAAGTGTAAATTGTATTTCTCAACATTATTTATTAATGACACAGCCTGGTTAATACATAACCAGCCCCACTGGACGGATTCTCAGGTTTTCTCAATAGTATGGTTTTAAAAGGTTGCCCACTTAATAATAAGGTATCATGACAATAGGGGGGGTCCAAACACAAGGCTGATCTTAGGGTTGAGTAAAACCATGATATATTCATTTTTTTCAGTAGTTTCTGTAGGGATCAAATGAGGCCTGGTGAACAGTAAAGTACCAGCAAGGGCCAATCTTTGTATATAGAAAATATTTGATTTGGGCAAAGCCTAGAAGGACTGTAGACTACCTTGTGTGGCTAATACTAGCCTAATACTCTATATATCTTTATATGTTATTACCATTGTCTTAATACTAAGGAATCAGATCCCTACAGTATAAGAGACACTAATGGAGAGATAGGACTTGGGAACTGTAGAATCTTGTCCATCATCTGCCAAATAATGAGTGCAGCATGCAGGAAGAGGTTGTTTTTAATATTTCTGGGTAATTCACCCAGTGAAGTATGTAGCAGGGGAGGACTGACCATTTGGAAACTCGGTCACTGCCTGAGGGCCCAGGGTCAGTAGGGGGGCCCATGAGATGCCCCTGGTACCTTTTTCATAGGCTTTTTTGAGTTTGGGCAAGGACACAGGGGCCCCATGATCCCCTATTGCCCAGGGGCCCCGTGAGTTGTCAGTCCACCCCTGGTATGTAGAGTTCCTAAAAAAGACTATGGTTCCAAACACCGGGCTTCGAATGATGTATTTATATAGTCTTGTTTTCCCAAACGCAGGCATGATGGGATAAACCAGACAAGTTATATCGCTGTATATTAGGCAAGTTCACTCCCACATGGACTTTCGTCAGCTGTAATTTAGTTGAAGATCAATTTATCTCCTCTTAGCCTCACTCCATGACATCTTTATTGAGCTCATCCTTGTGCAGCTTTTCATTTCACTGTCTGGTTACAAGCTGGGGTAGGTCCAATACAGCCTGTGTTTAGTTTAAATGGGTTGAATGATGCTGAACATACAGCTATCTAGTTATAGATGTATTGTGCTAGAAAAGAAAGGGTTAGCACTGGGTTAAAAGTATATTTTGCAGCAAACTTTGCATTTTGATTTTTTTCTTTTTAATAAGCTATTTGGTTCTAATTTAGTGTTATTTTTGACTGGACTTCTTCTTTGTGCTAGCATCCAGACAAAACTAAACACCATTTCTGGGTGGAAGTAGCCTTTACATTTACAGTAGGGCCATCGATTTTCATGCAGTGTTTTCATTCACATATCACTGCTAAAGGTATCCAGAGCTCCCTGATTATTATTTTAATCTATTTTTTAGAAGTATTAATACATGTTCACATTTAATTTAATTATTTTCAGTTCTGCTTTCGATATTCTTTCCTGTCACCAAATCTGTGTGACTTCTTCCACTGGGAACTCAGTCAATCTGGTTTTGCTCATTTCTAACATTTTCCTCTAAAGTGAGAATAACACTGCAACATCAAAAGATGCCATCTGCGTCTAAATATTATTTTGTGTATATAATTACATTTGGTATGCTTTTAAAGGAAAACTCCACCAAAATATTTTAGGTGAATGGGAACTAGATGACACACATGGAGATACAGAGGTAAGTTATGTTTGCAATAGGTCTTAAATGGTTACCTTCCTGAAAATTTTTCAGCTGGTATAATCTTTTAAAGTGTAACCCCAGCCAAACAAATCAATACACAGTTATGTATATGTAAGCTGTATTCCCTGCATGTTGGTTCAGCTTTTGTCAAGAATCTTGGCCACACAATAGATCCAGACATATAGATCCAGACACTCACTCCATAATGAACAAGGCTGGCTGCAGATGTGCAGCTTCATGTATTTTTTCTCTCCACCTTCTGTCTACTCGCAGGGCTGTACTGTCAGTGAGACCTTCTTTCACCCCGTATTCCCTTTACTCCCCAGACCCCAGTCCATGAGACCTGTTGAAATGTCAGCCTTCTGTATTATAGGTGAGAATGATTGGCTCATAGTGCTGCTACTCTCATCTGCATGTCTGCTATAAAGTCCTAGAAGGAAAACTGCACCCCATGTGTTAAATTGTATTGTTCCATGCTGCATGAACACCCCACCAGACTTCTGAAGACTATGATTAAGCTCTGCATTAGGGTAGATTTAAACATCTACATCTCCTTTGCTTCTGAAGCCTGATCCGAGTTTGGATTTCGCTCGAGAGGCTACTGACAGGTGATGGAGAAGCGATATGATACCTCCTCACCACCTGGTGTTAATTTAATTTTTGCTGACAATCGTGCTGCAACCATGTGCATTGCACACAGTTGCAGAGTGTTTGACGTGCTTCCCCATTTGAATGTGTAGTGTTTGGTGGGCTTACAACCCATCGATCGCTACATGTCAGGTGAACTTTGCCACAGGCCTGAAGCAAAGCATCGCAGCCAAGACATGAAAACATCAACATCAGATGCCTACTGCTGTTTAAGGGACAAGTGGGGGTAATTGACAGGCAGCAAAAACAAGCCTCAAACGTGCATTTTTGCCACCCCTCCCCCCAATAACAAGTCTAAAAGTAGCCTTAGAGACTGAGGTGAGGAGTCTGTCAGGGTGTACATACCATTGGAAACAATGAAGTGCATTGTACATCAGAAAAGTGGACTTTTCTTGTGTGTCATTTTGACTATGAGGGATTTGTTAAGTCTCTGAATTTGCCTGCTTCCCACTGCTGTATTATAGAGCCATAGGCATAGGCCCCAACTGTCCCTCATTACGAGGAACTGTCTGTATTTTAAAACTAAATTCTTCTAGGCTAGGTGTCCCTCCTTCCTCCTTAGTTGTCTCTCTTTTTGGTGTAGAGTTACACACCTCTATAGACAATGTATCTTTTAAGTAGCAAAGCTATTAGACTATGTTAAACCTATTATCCATTCTCTAAATGCTCACATTTGTTATTTTACAGAGCCACTGTAAAGGAGAATGATTGGGTGAAACAAGAACTTGTTGGTTTACCCAATTAGTTTCTGTATTTTAGTTGTTTTCAGTCAGCATAAAAAAATTGTGTCCTTTGCCTACATACTTTGAACTAGAAGTGTATCTCCTTCTCATCTCATAAAGTTGGGAGGTATGCGGAGGTAGCCTGGAGCTATGCAGCTCATTAAAGTCCTAGATTTCTGGTAAGCAGAGGGTTATGGAAACTTAGGATAGGATCACACTAGCCCTCACACTGCAGGCTGGTTGCGGTTGCGGGAATCAATGTGATTCCCTCACCTGCGACCACCAACTGCTGCATCACGCTTCTCTTGCAAGTCATGGGGTTGGCACCCCCACGCATCTCATCCCGCAGCGCAATCGTGGCATGATCACGGGTAGGGAAACCACATGGAAACTGCATGGTAAAAAAGACCATGAGGTTTCCGTACGGATGCGCATGCACCTTTTTTTTGTGTGAAATAGGTGCACAGCAGCTCATTCAAATGAATGGGCTGCTGTGCCCTTGCAAACACAGTTTTGGCTAGAGTAGGAAGATTTACAACCCCTGTCAGGACACAATGGAAAATTAAAGAATATCTCTACAAAGTGGAGATAAATCCCCTTTTAGTCATTTATGCCTGTAATAAGTGCCAGAATTTGAAGATTCCCTCCCTACCTCCTTTTCTGGTGAGAACCATAACTTTTTGTATTTTCCATTATTTTCTGTCCTGCTGACAATTGTCATTTTCTGTCCTGCTGACAATTGTCATTAGGACAAATAGAAAGGATAACAAATCAGCCATATAGAGTTTTTACCCTTCACTGTATTCAAAACTACAAAAAATATATAATAACTATAATAAAATAAATAGGGTTGTCTTTCGATGCCCTTGGATGGAGTTCAAATACCTTGATTTAATCTCTTTTGGACTGCAAGGCACCACACGGAATGTAATTAAGACCAAATCCAAAAGTTCTATTTTTTTCTGATTGGGGAGTTTTCCTTCACTTCTTATCCTGATAGGATTCAACAAAACGTTAGAGGAAATCTCTACACAGTGGTAAGAAATCCCCTCTTAGACAGTTGTCCTAAGATCTTTTGTTTTTATTGTATTAACATGATTTTCCTTCATTTGCTGTTTTGTCAAATAGATAGGAAATGAAGAACAATTTCCTGCATGGTGTTCAGTGTAAGTAATAATAGTCTGACAAGTTTACATTCATGTTGTGGCTGAAGTTGGACTTCAGCATTTTTCAGAAGCTACTAGAAATATTAGAAAGAATTTAAAAATAGTTTTTAAATATATGGTTACATACTATGAGACATTAATAATTTAACTAGAAATATAAATGAACCAATGTATGTAAATTAAACTTCTTGTCAACAGAAAATATAATTTTATTTAAAAAAATCTGACAAATAACTTTAATGAACTGAATAAATGTGCTATTGTTGAGTGAATTGAACCTATTATTGCTTCAGTTTGGGTCAGTAGTATTCAAATGTCATGATTTTGGAGATATACAGTAGTTACTTTTTGGATTCAAAATCTTCCTTATCTCTTTCCTCCACAATAGTTATCCATTTACATTTGATTATATATCTATATTAAAAACACTACAAAACTACTCAAATACTGTAGTTATCTTGCTCTTAAAGGGGAATGCATATTTTTTCCCTATATTATTTCCCTCTTAGTGTAGTATGATCAGAAGCTAAAACATTTTTTATTTTTTATAATATTTTAACATTTTTATTCAATTAGGATATGAACTGCTTTTAAACATACTGTATATATTTCATTATCATTTTGTATCCAGCAGGTCATGAGTGTGAGTCTTCTGCAGGGTTTCAGATAGCTGGCTTACTACTGTGTTGTACATACAGACCTGAACAGCAAGATCATATTAAACAAACACACATGCTGCCAAAAAGTGCAAAACTAGTGCTGGACATTGTTATAAAAATGTATATTAATAAATAAATAAAAATCCATCCTACTGTTTGCAGGTCGTTTTAATTGTGTGCCCGCTAGCAGCTATTCGAGGTATGGAATGGCCACTGGGGGCTGGACACTTGTAGTGTCCAGCTAATCTTGCAGACAACAGGATGGAGGGGGGGGGTCAAGTACCAGTTTTTTTTTCACAGGGAGGCCAACCCATACCTGTATGTGCACTGGGAGCAGGTACAGCATCTGAAAAAGGAGGAACACTGGTATGTTCTATTCAGGGGATATGGATTTGCATTGATGGATTTTTGGAACATGTTGCTGAAGGTGAACGTACAGTTAAAGACAAGAAAAGCTATTATCCACTAGCATAATTTGTTTTCATGTCACCAGTAATGTTAGTTTTAAACACTTTGGTTAGCATTACAGGTTACTTTAAATAACCATATCCCCTTGATAAAGTCATGTGACTAGTGAAGAAACACGTTGGGGAGGAGTTTGCAGATGACATCACGTTACCATTCATTGGTGCAGTGATTATAGTACTGTGTAAACGGCTCCAGGAATAGCATTATAGCTGGCAATTGCATTTACTAAGTGGGCCCTTGCTTTGCTTTCCATTATATTACGGATGGTGTCTGTTTTGGGCATGTACAGGACTCTGCTGCTGAGATGATACTGTTATCTTGTGTATTAACAGTACATCACTGGATGTTCATCATACCTGGTGCAATATACAGCTGCTGAACGTGAGTGTATTTCTTATGTTTAATTGATGAATAA